CGAGCACACCGCCGCCAGCAATGGGGTCCCCGCGGAGGGACCCCAGGGGCCGCCTGGCTGTGGTGGTGCTGTGCAGAGCCAGAGGTTCCTGGAGATGACCTAAGAGTTCAGCCCAGACCCTCCCGCTGGGGGCGGCAGGCAGACAGGGCGGGCACGTTAGCCGGTTCCTGCTCACTTTCCACTCATCCCACCGGGCGCGCCGGTCCCCGAGGACACAGCCCCCAGCGGGTTTCCTGGAGCGGCCTCCGTGTGGGGGCCGCGCGGGCCGAGGGCCCGAGGGCCCGGCCTGTCCTCTGTCCGGTCACGTCATGGAGCTCATTACAGTTCCCGTTCGGGCCTCGGCTCACATTTTCCAACGACTTTGAAGCGTGAGTTCATTCATTTACAATGTCAGCTCCAATTAAACTTGTAAAAATACTACGCAGAGGAGGCCTCTGTGGGTCACGGGAGCTGCGTGTTACTCAAAAGAGAATTCCAGGAAAGCGCTCAGGGGTTCCGTGCTCCAGGACGGGCTCGGAGTGAGGCCTCGTTTTATCACTCCGATCTGTGGGAACACGTCTGTCTCCAGGGATGCGTGTGCGGGCTCGTCCAGTCCGCGATTGGAGCGCACGTAGAGGTGGCGGGCTCCGGGAGGGAACGGAGCCCCCAGGAGGTCCTGGCCCCAGGCACCTGGGCGCCCCCCCAGCCCCGGTGGCTGCAGGCGCGGGGAGGGCGGCGGGACCAGCCTCCCGCCTGGCTGACCTCGAGCTGCCGCGGCAAAGCGGGAGCCGGCCCGCCGAGGCGACGCGGTGTGTCCCTGGGCTCCAGGCGGCCCAGGAGGCTCTGGGGTCAGAGGTCAGCCTGCAGCTGGCAAAACAGACCTCAGTGAGCACGTGGCAGAGTGGTCCCAGGAGGAGCTTAGACGTCACAAACCCGCAGCGACCCCCCCACCACGCACCTGGGGACGAGGCCACGCCTACCTCCCCTCCTGCCCAGCCGCCGGCCCTGGCGGCAGAGCCCGGTCCGTCCCACGTGGCTGTTAAACTAAGCGTGCTCTCCTCGTGCAGGGCGCGGTGACTGTCCACCTCCGGTGTCACTGCGTGCGGTGCCACCGTGTACAGGTGCTCCACACTCCAGTCTGCCTGCCCCGGGTCCCCCGCCACCCTCCTCCCAGCAGCTGCGCGGACGAGGCTTCAAACCCTTTCTGACAAGTGCACCTGGAAGGCTGCTCCAGGCCTGAGAAACTCCTAGAGCAAGAGATCACCCCGTGCAGCTCCTGGGAGCCACAAACCAAACCCAGACACAGGCACACGCGCAGACATACACACATACACAAACACAGACACACAGGCAGACACAGACACAGACACAGACATACACACAGACACACACAGAGACATACACACACACAGACACAGACACACAGGCAGACATACACACACACACAGATGCAGACATACACACAGACACACAGACGCAGACACAGACACACAGACACACAGACGCAGACACAGACACACACGCAGATATACAGACACAGACACACACGCAGACATACACACACAGAGACATACACACAGACACAGACATACACACAGACACAGACAAACACAGAGACACACACACAGACACAGACATACACACACAGAGATACACACATAGATGAGGACACAGACACGACACGGACACAGGCCATAACTACCCAGGTCTGTGGGGCCAACTTCCCCCCATGGACCCCAGAGCTGGGAAGTGGGGTTCCGGTGGGAGTTAAAATGCCAGGTGCTCTGACCCCAAAGTCTGGGAGCTGCTTCTTTCATGAAACTCACACCCCAACCCCCTCTGCTACCACCCCCCTTCCCCCCTGCCGTGGTAGTAAAACCTCGTGTGGGATCCCAGAATTTGGAGATGTTTGTTCTGATATAGATTCTTAATGTTTTTATAGAGAGAGGAAGGGAGAGAGAGAAACATACATGAGAGAAAATCATTGATTGGCTGCCTCCTGCACACCCACAACCTGGGCCTGTGCTCTTGACAGGAATTGAACCCTAAACCCTTCAGTCCGCAGGCCGATGCTCTATCCACTGAGCCACACCGGCCAGGGCTACCCTGTTTTCCTAGTCTGGACTTCACTCACTGCCCTGTCACAGTCGCAGCAACAGGGGGGTGAGGGGATTGGTGCGGAGGAGGGGGACAGGAGGCCTCACCCCCTCAGAACCTGGAAACGTCTCCTTCCCCCTCCCCCACCCCGGGGGGGGTGTCTTCGAAATCGCCAGCCCCCCCAGGGAAGGAGGCACTGGGCAGAGGGCTGGGTGGGCCTGCGGCTGGAGCTCGAAGTGAAAAGTCTCCTGACCAAGCTGGTTGGGCTCCTCTTTTTTCCTAAAAACAGAACGCTCTTTGGGGGAAAAACACACACAAAAACACACACCAAGTCATCACTTAATAGAGGGCAGTTTTATTTCATTTTTTGCTCAATAATACTAACAAACAGCAGACTCTAATTTTGGCTGTTTAATCTCCCAACTGAACCCCATTACTCAAGAAGCTAAGAAAAACATTGTTTTTAGGTTTTCTCACTGGGTCATGCTATCTCCCAGCCCGCTGGACTTTCCAGCGTCCCTGGCACGTAACCCGCTCCTATTTTACGAGCCGCCAGCTGTCCAGCAAGCTCTCCGGAGAGGCCTCTCGCAGGGAAGGTCTGGGGGTTACTGACCCGCAGGAGGGACAGGGCCCGCTGCCTTCCGTACTCACTCGGGACTGCAGGGTGTGGGACAGGGACCTCGGAAGTGAGGGGAGGGCTCGGACAGACCACCAGCAGCCCGAGACACAATCCCACCACCCCGCATGGCGAGGGCTGTGTTTCCGATGTGGGTGTCGCCTCACAATCACTAAGCAGCTGCCTACCAAGTACCTTCACCGGGGAGACGCCTTCCCCACTCCCCATGGACACCAGACTAACCGGCAGTCTGATCGAGGGAACCAGCACATCACAACATGGAGCTGTGTCCCATCCAAGACCTCCCTGCCATAACGAGTTCTTTCCTGGCAGTTTTGTCAAATAAAAATGACTATATATTGACATTCTAGAGCACATGTGTCAAACACAAGGCCCGCGGGCCAAATCCGTCCCGCCAGGCCTTGCAATGTGGCCCGCACCGCGCTGTCATCACTGCACTCCGCTGTGTTTCCATCACAATGACAGTTTATGACTGTTCAGTAAACCATTCGGCCTGCGATTTAGGCTGGACTTTAGATTTTGGCCCCTTCTCTGATGGAGTTCAACACCCCTAGTCTAGAGGCAGGGTCCCTAGCCTGGCCAGCAATCAGGACTGATTAGGGCCTTCCTTCATTGTGCACCGCCCCCTGGTGGTCAGCGCACATCATAGTGATGGGCAGGTCGAACTCCTGTTCTCCTGGTCGAACTCCCAAGGGGACAATTTGCATATTAGGCTTTTATAGAGATAATTCTCCCCATATCACTGCCCCAGCATTTCTTTGTTGTTGTAAGACTTCACACACGCATGCACACACATGCACATACATACATGTATACATATACGTACATGTACATACATACACATGCACATGCACACACACACTCACACACATGGAAGAGGTGACCAGGCGAATGTCAGCGCCGCTGCTGCAGGTGGACTGGCGGGTGGCGAAGCGGGGCCCTGACTGGCTCTTTCTGCCCAAACCGCCCGGGGCTGCTCCCCGGCACCTGGGTGCCGCCTGGGCCCGCATCTGGCTCCAGCAGCGCGGGGCAGTCGGTTCCCCTGCGGTCCGGTCCGCGGGCCGCGCTGACCCACAAGCTCTTTGCCCGCTGGCTCCTGGGCCGCGCGCGCCCTCTGTCGGCCGCACGGAGAAGGGTCGCGCAGGCCGCGCTCGGAGGTGGCGGACGATTCTCCCCATCCCAGGGCAGTGCGCCCCGACCTGGCCCCAGCGCAGCGCGCAGACCGCACGGACAGGAGGACCCCAGTGTCCCCAGCGCGGCGCACCGGACAGACCTCAGGGCGGGGCCGCCACTGGCCGGGAAATGGCCGGGAAAACCCCGTGGTCAGGCTGCTGGTCATTAATGACATTTACTTTTAGTCCCCGGTTGTGGACGGAGGCCCTGCTGGAGCCATCCTGGGGGGGGGGGGGGGGGGGAACCTGAAACAGGTTAACCTCCCACAAGCCCGGCTCAGCCGCTCCCCGCGGGCCCGCTCTGCCCGCCCTGTCCGCTGGGACCCCGGGGAGGGAGGGAGGGAGCCCCGCTGTGAGCAGGGACCCGGAGAGCGGAGGCCGCGTGCGCACCTGCAGATGCGCGTTTTGGGACCAGATGTGGGGGTGCGAGTGGCCCGGCGGGTGCAAACGGAACCCTGAGACTTCGTTCCCCGGACCAACGGAGGTGCCGGCTCAGAAACGTCTTAAATCCCCAGCCTCGTTTAAATCCCCTTGAATGTTAGAAACTTTGCCAAGTACCCCAGGGAGGAGCAGCGCGCCCCGTCTCCCCCGTCTCCCTGGCACCCCGTCTCCCCGGCACTCCCTCTCCCCGGCACCCAGATCTCCCCTGCACCCCGTCTCCCCGGCACCCCATCTCCCTGGCACCCCGTCTCCCCAGCACAGGCTCGCGGGCGGCCTCCCCCGGGACGGGACGCAGACGGAGAAGGGCGCGGAGAGCCGGGGTGGCGGGGACGGGGGGGGGGGGGGGACGCTGGGGTGGCCAGAGGCACCAGGTGGGTGGGTGCTAGAAGCGCCTGGGTCCTGGGGCCGCGGGGCGCCGGCGTGCCCACGGGGAGCAGGTGCTCGGCGGCCGCGCTGCGCCCCCGATGCCCCGGCCCCGGAGCGGTGGACGGACCCGAAGCCCGGGCTGCGCCCTCCCGCCCCGTCTCCCCCACCCCCTCTCCCCACGCCTCGTCTCCCCCTGCCCCCTCTCCCCCGCCCCGTCTCCCCCACCCCGCGCCGACCGGGGCGTGTCCTCGGGCCTCGGGCCTCTATATAGCGGCCGGCGCGCCCGGGCCGCCAGATGCAGCCTGCGGTGCCGGCAGAGGTCTGAGGTCTGACGGACGCCGCTCCTCCCCGGCTCCTCCGCTCCCGGCTCCCGGCTCCCGGCTCCCGGCTCCCGGCTCCTCCGCTCCCGGCTCCCGGCTCCCAGCTCCTCGGCTCCAGCTCCTCCGCTCCCGCAGCCGCGCCGACGCTCCCGTGCTGCGCCGCGCAGCCCTGGCTGAGCCGCGGAGCCCCGCAGCGGGCGCCATGCCGCTCACACGCCCCGCGCTCCTGGCCGCCGCGCTGGCGCTGCTCCTCGGGCTGCCGGCGGCGCGGGCCGGGGCCGGGCCGGGTCCCGGTACCGGGGCGGCGGGCGCGGGCCCCGTCGTGCGCTGCGAGCCCTGCGATGCCCGCGCCCTGGCCCGGTGCGCGCCCCCGCCGGCCGGCTGCGCGGAGCTGGCGCGGGAGCCGGGCTGCGGCTGCTGCCTCACGTGCGCGCGGCGCGAGGGCCAGGCGTGCGGCGTCTACACGGAGCGCTGCGGCGCCGGCCTCCGCTGCCTCCCGCCGCCCGGCGAGGCCCCGCTGCGGGCGCTGCTGGAGGGCCGCGGGCTCTGCGCCAACGCCAGCGCCGCCGCCCGCCCGCCCGCGCCAGGTGAGCGAGCGCCCGTCCCCCTGTGCCCCAGTCCCCCCGACCCCCGTTCCCCGTCCCCCTGTCCCCGGGCCCCGTCCCCCTGTCCCCGGGCCCCGCCCGCGCCAGGTGAGCGAACGCCCGTCCCCCTGTGCCCCAGTCCCCCCGTCCCCCTGTGCCCCCGGTCCCCGTCCCCCTGTCCCCGGGCCCCGCCCGTGCCAGGTGAGCGAGCGCCCGTCCCCCTGTTCCTCTGTCCCCCTGTCCCTGAGCCCCGCCCGCGCCAGGTGAGCGAGCGTCCGTTTCCCGCCCCCCTATCCCCAGGCCCCCCGTCCCCCTGTCCCCCCGTTCCCTGTCCCCCCGTCCCCCTGTCCCCCGTCTCCCGGTCCCCGTCCCCCTGTCCCCGGGCCCCGCCCGTGCCAGGTGAGCGAGCGCCCGTCCCCCTGTTCCTCTGTCCCCCTGTCCCTGAGCCCCGCCCGCGCCAGGTGAGCGAGCGTCCGTTTCCCGCCCCCCTATCCCCAGGCCCCCCGTCCCCCTGTCCCCCCGTTCCCTGTCCCCGGGCCCCCCTGTCCCCCGTCTCCCGGTCCCCGGGCCCCGCCCGCGCCAGGTGAGCGAGCGGCGGCCCCCGGCCCGGAGGGCGTCGTGGGGAGACGGGCCCGGCGCCAAGTGCTTGTAAGCGCAGAGCGCCGTCCCGACAACGGCCCGAGGCTCTGCGGGAGGGAGCGGGCTAGGGTCAGTGTCGCCGGAGGGAAGATCCGGGGACCCCGGGCCGTAGGCGTGGGCTGCGCTGCGGGCTCCGGACGCGCTTCCGTCCCACGGGGTGGGGAGGGGTAGCGCGTCCGCCGCGGACAAGGGGCGGGCGCGGGGCTGAGGGGCGGGCGGCGGGGCGCGGTGGGAGGGGGCCCGCACCGCACCGGAGTCCCCTCCGAGCTGGCCCTCAGGAGGAAGCGGGTCTACAAGGTGCCCTCCCCCCGGGCAGGGCGGGGGCAGCACCCGCTGCCACACCCGCACCCTCCGGTCACCCAGCTCTCCTGCCCGCACCCTCCCGCCACCCAGCTCCCGCCCGGGAGGCCGCAGACGCGCCCGGCGCGGGGAGCGGGTTTCGGAGGCGGGAAGGGACGGGGAGCCCCGTGGGGGCCCGGGGAGGCCTCAGAGGGAAGGTCGGTGGGTTGGCTCTGAGCCTCCGCTCGGCCAGGGAGTCCCTGCGGCTGCGGAGCCCGGGGCGGGTGGCCTCGCCGGCGGGCTCGGTGCCTCCGGAGAAGCCGCGGCCCCGGGTGGGTGAGGGGGAGGCGTGTGCGGGTCCCCAGGCGGGACGGCGCGTAAAGCCGCCAGCGGCCACTGCTCGGGGCCCTGTGTGCCCAGCGCGGGCTGGGGGTCCTCCCGGCGCCCCCTCCCGCCGCCGAGGGGCGCCCGCACGGTGTGGGCGGCGGAGTGGCTTCCGGGCTCCGGGGGGCGTTCTCGGGACTCGGCGCTGAGGAGGAAGGGCTTCCCCTCCCGCCGCCGCCGGAGCGGGGAGGCGGGGAGGAGCTCATTTACATAGCCCCGCCCCGGGCCGGGGCTTCCCGGAGGAAGAGGACCGGAAACGGAAAGGAAACGCAAAACAGCCTACCGCTAGGAGGGTCCGCGGTGCGGACGGTGCTCCCGGCCGGGCCCCGGGGACCACGCAGCTCCTTCCCGGGGGCGGGGCCTCCCGGGGCGGGGCCTCCCGGGGCGGGGCCTCCCGGGGCGGGGCCTCCCGGGACCTCCGAGCGTGGAGCCGGAGCACCAGGTCTCCCCGCCCCGCGGGGCCTGGGAAGCTCCCTCCCCGGCACCGCCCTGCTCCCGGGAGCCCCAGGCCCGGGCGGGCGGCCTCCCTGCCGGCCGGGAACAGTCAGCTGGAACGGGGCGCCGAGCTCCCCGGCGGAACAAATTCGGGGCCGCAGGGTCTGGGAGATCAGGGGGTGCGGCTCGTGGGAATGACGTAGCCGTATGGCCGCTGCTCGGCTGAGCGGACCGGGTGGGAGAGGGGTGTCCGCCCTGTCCCACAGCCGCCCGGCTCCGCCCGGGAGGAACAGCGGGCGCTGGCGCCTCCAGCCTCACGCGTGCTTCAACCTCAGCCCCCAGGGGCGGGTTTCGGGGAGAAGGGGGTGGGGGGCGTCCAGGCTCTGCTCTGCTCCCTCCCGGTAGAGGAGGGGACACCTGCCAGCGAGGCACCTACTTGGTCAAATCTCTTCTGATCTCCAGGCAAAGCAAGTACCAGGGCTGCTAGTGTGAGAGTGGGACTCTATCAAGTGTTTTCTTTTTCTTAAATATTTTTTATTGACCAGAGAGAAAGGGAGAGGGCGAGAGAAACATCCATGATGAGAGAGATCCACAGATCGGCTGCCTCCTGCACACCCCTCACTGGGGATGGAGCCCGAACATGGGGCCTGAGTCGGGAATCCAACCGAAACCTCCTGGTTCCAAGGTCGAGGCTCCAGGTGTTTTCCCAGAATGACTCGGGATGGCTGAGTGGCAGTGCCCGAGACTGACCTGCTCAGCCCTCAGCTCCTGTCTCCGTGTCTCCCCAGCAAACGGCAGTGAGGCGGAGGAAGAGCAAAGCGCAGTGACCGCGGGGAGCCCGGCGCTGACGGGCACACACTGGGCCCCCGACTCCAGGTTCCACCCCGGCCACACCAAGATGGACGCCATCAGGAGGGGGAGCGCCAAGGACAGCCAGCGCCACAAGGTCCACTCGGGGGCCCAGAGCACCGTCACCCAGAACTTCTCCTCCGAGACCAAGCAGGACACAGAATACGTGAGCGTCGCCTCCTGGGGTGGGGGGAGAGCTGGGAGCCCGAGGGCACCGGCTGCTCTGCACCCCGAGCCGCGGGCACACCCGGTCCAGGCACAGGGGCAGCTGCCAGTCCCCTAACGCCCAGAACGGGGACCAGGTGGCCCGGCCCTAGGGTCAAACCCCGGGGCGTGCCCAGGCCTCTGGGCTGGAGAAAGGCTCACATGCCCGGCTCTTCCTGTGCCCCTGGCCCCTGGGTGTCCCGGGAGATCCCGGGGCCGAGCTCCATCTCGGACACATGGGTGGGGGTGCCGGAGTTCCCACGGGCGCCGTGATGGCCGAGTCAGGCCACAGCACCGCTGGTCCCCCCGGGGGCGGGCGGGTGGACTCCATAGTGACCGTCCACGCCCCCAGGGGCCCTGCCGCCGGGAGATGGAGGACACGCTGAACCAACTCAAGTCCCTGAGCACCCTGAGCCCGCAGGGCATCCACCTCCCCAACTGCGACCGGAAGGGCTTCTACAAGAGGAAGCAGGTGAGCCTCCGTCCGGCCTCCACCGGGTGGGGCCCCTCCTCCGCCGCCCCAGGGCCCTGCTCCCCTTTGTGAACCCGCAGGGACACGCGCCCAGCGCCTGCCCGCTGTCCCCGGCCGCAGTCCCGGTGGGCGGCCGGGCGGGCATGGGGCCCGGCAGCCGGGGTCACGCCGCCCTCTCTGCCCCCAGTGCCGCCCGTCCAAGGGCAGGAAGCGCGGCTTCTGCTGGTGCGTGGACAAGTACGGGCAGCCCCTCCCCGGCCAGGACCCGCGGGGCCGGGCGGACGTGCACTGTGACGGCGCGGAGAGCCCGTGACGTGGTGAGCCTGCCCCGGGCTCTCCATCTGACAGGGCGGGCTGGCGTGGTCAGGGGGAGGACAGGCCGGAATGCTCCCGGGAGAAGGCGGGGGCCTGCCCACTGAACCACACAGGCAGGGCCTGGGCCCCCGGGTCGGAGCTCAGAGGCTTTCCCTGTGATGGAGCCCTCGCTTCCCAGTGAACTCTCTGGCTTTAAAGAACCTAATTCTAAGATGGGATCTTGTTATTGATCTGATAGAGGAAGGGAGGGAGAAACCAACAAGGAGAGAGAACCATGGACCGGCTGCCTCCTACACGCCCCACGCTGGAGATGGAGCCCATAGCCCGGGCCTGTGCCCTGACCAGCAATCACACCCTGACCTCCCTCCCGGTTCATAGGTCAACGCTAACCACTGAGCAACGCCAGCTGAGCCACGCCAGTTTCTGAGTTAAAGACGAGCCTGATTGTGCTCCCCTCCCCCCGCCCCTGTAAAATACATAAGGATATTCTGACAACCTGTGGTTAATAGAATTTTAATAAAGTTCATTAAACCTAACTCAAACAATGACTTTAAACCATTCTGAAGGCCATCACATCCAATATTCTCTTTGACTAAATGAAAGTTACTGGTGGAGAAAAAGGAATAAATACATTTCCTTTCGTGTCCTCAAGACGAATGTGAGTCGACAGAAGGAAATTGCCTGTTTAGGTGTTTTCTTTCCTTGCAAGTTGTTAAAGGCAATTCTAACTTTGGGGTGACTGGAAGAACATAGCAGGCAGCCCAGCCGGGAGCTCAGTGCTTGAGCATCGACCTATGAACCGGAAGGTCACAGTTCGATTCCTGGTCAGGGCACAGGCCCACGTTGCAGGCTCGATCCCCCATGTGGGGCGTGCAGGCGCAGCCCATCCATGGTTCTCTCTCATCATCGATGCCTCTCCCTTCCTCTCTGACACCCATGAAAACATGTTTTTAAATTGCTAGCATCCTGCAGGCCCTCGCTGTGTGAGCAGGCGGCCTGCCTGTGCCCAGGAGGTTGGGAGACTGACGTGGGAGGAGTTAACCACCGCATTCCTCTCTCTGTTTCAGTTCCTCGAACTCCAGCACCGACGGCACCACAGACGGCCACGGCGGTGACCAGCAGTGGCCATGGCCTCGAGCACCTCTCTTTCTCTGGCGAATCCATTTCCTTTAACCCCTCCTTTAGGGTGAGCCCCCCGAAACGCCAGCGGTGTGCGGAGCGGCTCCCTGCCCCAGCAGCCAGGGCACCGCCTGACTTTTCTCATTGCCGCTTCTGGACCTCCCATGAGCTCAAGCTCAGGCCGGGCCTCAGGCTGCCCGGGACCCCGTCCGCTGGCACAGCCCACCGGGACCTCACGCCCGAGCACCCCTGCCCCATGGGCCTCCCGGGACCGCCACCCTCTCCCTGGGGTGTCTGCACCTCTGGACACACCTGCGAGGAGCCGAGGCCTGCGCCCCCCTGCCCCTCTGCCCACCAGCGAGCTCCTGCCCTCAGGCAGCCGTCCGCTTGGGACGAGTGAGACCATGAGGTGGAGTCCTGCCTTTTTTTTTTTTTTTTTTTTTTAAGACCAAGAAGGTGCTCAGACGGGGCACCTGGAGACGTGGGTGGCCCAGCAGGCTCCACAGGGCAGGGAGGGGGGTGGGGGTGGAGAGGTTGGCTTTGTCCCCAACAGCACACAATGCTCGGGCGGCAGGAAAGGGTGTTTTCCACTCACAACTCCAAAGCCAAGGCGGTTTCTGAGGATAGGCTCCTCAGAGGCCAAGGTTTGCTCATCCCTCACCACATGTCCTCCTTACACAGTGTAACACGTATGAATAGCCATGTATCTAGCCAGATCCCGGAATCCCCCTCCTGATTCCCGTGTTCAGAGAAGCGCCTCGTGAGCTGTCACGCTGCACTCACCGCACCCACACGTGACGGGACCTGGAGCCAGGCTCGGTGCCCTCGGCCAGGCCAGGGGGTCCAGGCACTGCCTGCCTTTCGCTTTCCTTTATTTTTTTAATCAAGTTTTTTAATCAAATAAGGTATTTTGGAGACGTCGGTCTCACCATGTATTTATAATTGGTCAATAAAGTTTTTACCGTGGAAAACCCTCCCCTGTCGGCGGCCAGCTCGCGGTGGGAGGGTCCCACGTCTCAGGGGATCACGGTGAGCTCCGGGGGGTCTTGGCGGGGTCCTGGTCGTGCAAGTCAGCAGGTCGCCCCCAGGCCCTGGCGACCCTGGGGCTTGTCCCCAGCGCCCTGCCGGCCCCGCCCAGGCGCAGGGGGCACGCGGCCTGGGGTCTGGGCTTGAAAGGGACCGGTGGCAGGAGACCCGGGGACGCTGGGACTCCGGGGATCAGGGCGCACTGGCTTCCAGGACCCCGGTGCCTGTCCTGCCTGCGCCCTTAGCACCCAAGTCCGCCCTCACCCACTTTGGGTGCGAGCACACGCGAGCATGCGCAGTCAGCCGGCTGGTCAGAGCCTGTGTGGTCAGAGCATGCGCAGTCTGGGGGGCGGGACCCGCAAAGCCCTGAGCCGGAAGTGAGGGCGCACGTGTAGGGCGGGGCCTGGCGCCCACGGGATCAGGATCCCGGGTTCGCCTTCCTGGGCACCCGTTTCACACCCCTTCACCCCGACCTCTGCCACAGTCACCCCTTGTCCGCTCGCCTCCCAGTGCACCCCTGCCACCGGGTCTCCCGGCTCCCCGCGCCGGCAGGCGGACCCCTCCGCTGCCCCTCCACCCCCACCCCCCGGCTGCCCTGCCCGCCAGGGTTGGGCTTGCGGCCCCCACACCCAGAGCCGCCCTGAGTGCGCACGCTGCTCCCCTCGCGGCGTCCAGGCCCAGCGGGCAGGTGGGCACCGACTGCGGTGGGCAGTCCTCAGCCCGGAGAGGCCTCTCTCGTCCCGACTCCGGGCCGCAGGCAGCGCGGGGCGCCCGCCGCCCAGGGACGTTCCTACCCGGAATCCTCAGGACGACGAGCAGATGCAACTGTCATGTGACCCCGACACGCATGCGCACAGGCAGGCAGACGCGCAAGGCACACACGTGCACACACATACATGCGTGCGCACAGGCAGGCGCACAGACGCTCACACAGGCACACACATGCACACATGTGCGCGCACACACGCAGGCGCACAGACGCGCACGGCACACACGTGCACTGGGGGGGCCTGGTGCCCACGGCTCGGTGCAGGAAGGTCCATGGTGTTTCTACTTCTTCCCGCCTGGTCCCTCAGGAAGGGGCCCTCCCCGCGGGGGTGGGGCCAGGACCTGGCTGAGTGCTGTCAGGACACCGACACTGAGTCCAGGACACCCCTGGGGGCCTGGCCGAGGGGGCAGCTGGCAGCCGGGGGCCTGAGGGGGCGGCCCGGGGAATGGCTGGGGCTGTGAGAGAGAGACCTGCACCCACTCGCGCTGGGGCTCAGGCCTGGGGCACAGCCAAGGTGGGGGCAGGGTCAGGAAAGCAAGCAGGTGACCTCGGAGGGGCAGCGAGCCTGGCGGTCTGGCTCAGCTGTGCCAGGGGCAGGCAGTGCCCGCCTGTGGCCATGCAGCGTGGGGCAGAGGCTGAGGGAGGAGGGGGGAGCTGGCCCAGGAGCGTCTCTGCCAGAAGCCCGGCCTGTTTACCGGCGGGAGATGGGGTGGCCAGTGGGGCAGTGAGGGCGGCAGGAAGTGGGAGGGGGCCCAGGCCGGGGTGACCACAGCCTGAGAGGCGCAGCGGCTGTGGCCGGGGGACGTGGCGGCGCAGGGGGAGGGCACAGAGGTCCACAGTGGCAGTGCTAATAGGCCGTTTATTGTGCACGTGGTGCGAGCCTGTGACAATGCCTCCCCTCCTTCCTGCAGCCCTCACCCCCTCACCTCCCGCTGACCACCGCCCCCGGGGGGGCTGAGTGCACTGCGCACCAGCAGAGGCTCCGTGAGGGACCACCCAGCGGAGTGTCCCTGCCCAGGACAGCCACTGCGAGGGTCACCCCCTGGGCAGTGTCTCCGGCATTGAGTTCAGAGCCGGGTCCTTGCGTAGAAAAATAAACTCGGTGAATAAATAGACAACAGCTTCGGAGCAAGCAGCGGTGGAGTACAGAACACCCCTGCCCTCACACAGGCCGGCGTGTCGGAGCGCCAACACACGTGGGCCTCAGCGTCCCATGGAAGGAGGCGGGCCCTGGAAATACTGCTCGCAGTTGGGGTCCCCTTGCACCTCCGCGGACCCCGTGATCCTCTGCCCGTTCCAGGGGTACACGCACCAGCAGAGCCCCAGCTCGCCATGCAGGGTGGCCATGCACTGCAGAACGGGGGGGGGGGGGGGGGCAGGTCAGAGCCGCGGCAGGAGCTGGAGGATGGGGCTCCCTGCCCCCCGCCCCCCACGGAGAGCCCAGGGCTGGGGCTCAGACCCTGGCACCGCCCGCCCGCCAGGACCGGCCGAGGGCACGCCCAGCGCCCTCCGGGTCGGTGTCCAGCGAGTCCGGGGTTCCATGCGTGTGCCGCCCGGCGTGGTGACCCCGGGGCTGGCTGCCTCCCACCCCGAGGAGGGGCCCTGCCTCCCGGGCGGGCGGGGGCTGGGGATGGGGACGTGGCTCGCGGGCGGGGACCCACCTGCTTGGAGTGGTACAGCCCGTCCTGGTGGCAGTTGGGCAGGTAGAAGCTGTAGAGGCCACCGCCCGCCTTGGCCTTCTCCTCGGCCGCCTTGGCCAGCGCAGCGTGCAGCTCCCGCCGGCAGGGGTCCTGGCGGGCAGGACAGTGGATGGAGGAGGAGATGGAGGAGGAGGAAGGTGACATCCCCGACCGGAGGCAGGAAGGGGGCCGTGTGGACTGGGGGACCCCCGCTGCCCTCCCCGGCCGCCGGCTCTCCCTGTCCCCCAAGGGCCCCGGGCTCTGCCTTGGGTTAGGGTTGGGGTTAGGGTTGGGGTTGGGGTTGGGGTTGGGGTTAAGAGGAAGGTGGGGGCCGTGCCCTCCCACCAGGACACCCCTGCACACCCACGGGAGCTGAGAGGTCTCCCCACTCCTTCCCTTCACCCGCACGCACCCCACCCCACCCCACCCAGGCTAGTGGGGGCTCTGATGGAGGCTTAGCCTCAGGTTTCTGGCCATTAGCACGGAGGCGGCACCTCCGGTCCCTGTCGCCCTCCAGTGGCGGGATTAGGCAGGGCGCCCGGTGAGGGGGACGGGCGGGGGAGGGGAAGGCGCGGCCTGGCAGGGGCGGCTGGGGGTCACAGGCCCCCACCGCACGCGTGAAAAGGGCGCAGTAAGGCGGGGAGGGCGGTCCGCCCTGCGCACTCTCCGCTCCGAGTCCCAGGCGCACAGCAGCCCGGGCCGCCCACCTTGGAGTCCTGGATGTCGGAGATCTGGAGCTGCTGCATGTCCTTGTAGACTCTGACCACGTCCCACACGGTGGACAGGCTCCCCGGGCTCTCCTTCTCCGCCTCTGCGGAGGGAGCGCGGCCCTGAGCGCCCGGAGCCCCCCACAGACGGGAGCCCTCCCGCGGCCCTGAGCGCCCGGCCCGCCCCCCGCCCCTACGGAGCCCGCTGGGTCCCAAGGCGAGGCCCCTCCACCCCAGGCCCCGCTGCCCCGCCGCCCCGCCCCGGCCAGCCCTCCTCCAGGGCTGGGGCTGAGGTCGCTCCAACCCCTCCTGCCCCGGGGCCTTGCGGTGATGGGGCTCCTGACCGGCTTGGGCTCCAAACTCTGGGCGCGGGCGGGGGCTCCCCTGGCGGTAGCTCCGGGCCCCCTGCGCGCCCAGGCTGGCTCCCGGGGAGGCGGACGGGGTGGGGGGAGGCGGGCGGGGGGGGGGCGGACGGGCGCACCTGCGGCCTCGGCGCTGGGCTCGCTGACCGGCGCCTCGGGCATGCACACGCCGCGGCCCCGGGCCAGCGCGCGCAGCGGCCGGGTCTCCCCGGGGCGCGCCCGGCAGCGCAGGCCGGCCTCGCAGCGCGCGGACGTGAAGCCGCAGGCGTCCCCCCGGCGCAGGGCGCACGCGGCGCAGCAGCCGCAGCCGTAGGGCCGGGCGCGCTCGCGGCAGGAGGCGGGCACGGGCGGGCAGGCCGCCAGCCGCTCGGCGGAGCAGGGCGCGCACTCCCACAGCTGCTGCTCGCCGGCCGCGCCGGGCAGGGCCGCGCCGAGCAGGGCGGCCAGGGCGGCCAGGGCGGCCAGCAGCGGCGGCGGCGCGGCGGGGGCGGGCATGGCCATCGGGGGCGGCAGGTGCTGGCGGCGGGCGCTCCGGAGTGATGCTCCGGGATGACGGCGACAGGAGCCCGCGCCTTATAAAGGGCCGGGCCGGGCCGCACCTGCCGGGGGTGATGATGGGGGGGGGGGGGGGGGGGGGGTGATGACGGCCGCCCCCGGGCCGGTGTTCCAAATAGTTTGTTTTGCTCCCGTGCTCGGGCCGCGCCAGGCGGGGCGGGGGCGGGGGCGGCCGGGTCGGGCTGTTTGTCCGCTGGTTATGAACTCCCGCCCCCACCCCCGTGCAGCGCTAAGCGGACCCGGAGCGCGTGGCCAGGGGCGCAGCTAGCTGTGTGCCCCAGGAGCCCTGGCCCAGGGAAGCCCACCTCTCTTTCCCTCCCTCCCTCCCTCCCTCCTTTCCTTCCTTCCTTCCTTCCTCCATTCCTTCCTTCCTCCTTCCCTCCCTCCTTCCTTCCTTCTTAACTTCCCTTCCTTCATTCCTTTCCTCCTTCCCTCCCTCCTTCCTTCCTTCCTTCCTTCCTTCCTTCCTTCCTTCCTTCCTTCCTTCCTTCCTTCTTTCCTTCCTTCCATTTTTATTGATGTCAGAGAGGGAGAGGGAGAGAGAAACACCCATGATGAGAGAGAATCACTGATCGACTGCCTCCTGCACGCCCCTCACTGGGGATTCAGCCGCAACCTGGGCCTGTGCCCTGAAGAGGAATGGAGCCCTGACCTCCTGGCTCCTAGGTCCAAGCTCAACTGCTGAGCCACACCGGCCAGGCCCCCCCCCCCCCCCCCCCCCCCCCCCGTTTTCAAATGGGGAAACCCGGTTCGGGGAGAACAGGGCGGCGTTTAGGACTAAGGCGTCAGCTGGTGGTGGCTCTGCAGGTCAGAGGCTCCAGCCTGGAGCTCCAGTCTCCCTGCCTTTCCCCAGAGGGAGACAGGGGAGCCCC